CATATATAAAAATTTAAAATACCCATACCCATCTATTCATGGGCGGGTATGAATAAATTTAGTTAAGTGGGTTGGTTTGCCACCTATAGTTAACATGAATGTTGGCTGGTTAATATATTTAATTTTTGGCTGAAAAAAATTCAAACATATAAATGGTAGATAAATACAAGTAACTTATTACTCGCTTAATCAATTTTTTTTATTGTCACACTTTCAAAGTTTTCGGATTTTTCATAAATATCAAAATGGTCATTAACATACAAGTTTTCAAATGGCAAACAAATACAAGGAACTAATTCCTATCGTCATCCCTATTTTTTTGATAAAAAATGAATTTTATTAACAAAATTATAGAAAATCGTCCAACAAAATTTGATTTACATCATAGAGATCTGCAATAATGATAGAATAAACATGCATTAGAAATGACAGATCTAATACAATTTAACAAAATATTTATACTATCGTCCTTGATTAATATATTGAATTGTTATGCTTTGTCATCTCTTATTCAATTTTGTGGATATTCGTTAAACAATTCTGATCTCAATTCATGTCTAAACTATCATACTATCAAAATCTGAATAATTAATCAAGAGAAGAATTGGTACCAGGATGCCCTTGAAATTGATCTTTTCAGCAGCTGCTTTGTTATGCCGTATGATAAGTGTGCTAAGCTGTGGTACAAAATGTCCTGCAAAGCCAAAGTCATCCATGAATCTAAGGACGTAGTCTTGCAGTAATTAAGGACTTGATGAACCTAATTTACTTCCTCACCTGAATACTTTCCCTTCTAGACAAAAGTTGTATTTTTTCCTAAGGTTTATTTCCAAAATACCCCTCCAAACATACCTTTTCCCATGAATTGGTACAATCATTATACAGGCCTAATTTCTCTTTAAATTATTCATGTGAGATGCACCCAAAATATCCCTAATCAGTTTCATGAATTTACACACATATAACTATTACAATTGTCATTCATCTTGTCAGTGTAGGAAAAATTAATCCTAACTATTATATCTATGACAAGGGAAAAAAAAAAAAGAACAAGAACAAGAAGAGGTAGCACGTGCAAATTTCATACACGATTTAAAGAGAAATTGCAGAAAAAAATCCATTACCATGGTGGGAATTAATCAAATTAACATCCCATGGGGTCAATTGAGGAAAAAAATATTTTTCGAAAGGGTATTTGAAATTGACTTTTTCTATTTCATGCCCTTAGAGCATATAATAGACACACAAAATATAGTGGGGGGAGCCAATCATAAATTTCAAACTTTATTATCCACTCGTGGATATAGAAATGTTAGCAAAGAAAATTTAAACTTTTGCAGCAACTAAATACCAAACACACTTGTTGATGATTGAGTTTTTCTAAATTAAAAACGATAAAAGACACAAGTTGAGAAGAATTCATAAATTCTACTATCCACTTCTAATCGTTAGGATGAATGCATTACCTCCATAGCTCTCCCCTAAGAGATAGAAGTCTCTTCCTTTGTATTGAGGGAAACGTTCCAACCATCCCAAAATAAATGCTAAGTTGTCCTTAGCTGGATTGAGTGTTGAAAATAACCAGAAAAATTAAAATAAAATAAAAGGAACAAAATAAAAAGACAGGAAAATGCTACTAGTATCTTCTGTATATGGACGAGTTGGAAAACATACCAGTACCTCTATCTCCAGTGTTATAAAGATCGGAGGAAGTATTTGAATATGAAAAACCAGCTCCAGCGGGAGACTCCACGAATATTATATTAGCAACTGCAAAATAATAACAGTAATAATAATAATAATAATGTAATAATTTAGTATAATTTTTCATATGATTAAAAAAAAGACTTTCTATCAAAATTGAATTTCAGTAAAATTTCTACAAGAATTATACAATTGCTCATGTGCATAATTGAAGTTGAGATAATCTTTTTGTTTGGCAATTCTTTTCTGTATAATTAATCAAAAATATGAAATTATTGAAAGAAATGCACCTTGATTCCAAGCATAAGGATTCAAGTAAACTGATTTTCCATCTGCGGTAGGATGAAAGGGTCCAATTTCCTCTGCCTCCCCAAAAGCAATGGATGAGCATGCAGGTCCTATTGAAACACTTGAAAACGTCAAAATAAAAACATGCACATTTAACAGAAATTCTATAATTTATGAAAAAAATTTTTTGCTGTTAATTGCTGTTTGGAGACCGCTTTACTGTGTGTTAAAATACTTGAAAAAGTTTTTGTACAAAAATTTGGTTTATCCTTCTGATGTCATGAAGAATGTAGAAGATAATAAGCTTTCTTATTAAGGAAGATTTGGAAAACAAAGAGAATAGTAAACTAGGATTTTTTTTTTTTAAAGGGAGATTTATATCTTACAAGATGAAAGGGGAGCTATAGTAGCTTTGTTTTTTTTCCCTCCCTCCTCTTTCACGTACATGATGGTTTTTATTCAAAAAATTAAAGGCCAAGAAAGAAGTATATCTCATAATTTAGTCGACCCGAAAATTTTAAATAAAAAATTGTGTAGAACCTAACATATATCTTTGAAAGAAAAGCAGCAGAAGAAAACTAATTTGAAGTGACATAGGCAAAAATGAACCACAAGGTCTTTATCCAATAAAAATAAAAATTTTATTGAATTGCTGCAAGATGCCTCTCATATGAAATTATTTTAGACCCATCTAATCTATACAAATTACCGTTGGATGTAGACAAATTACCGTTGGATAGTGATTTTGTGGAATTGTGTTTATTGCACCCTGTGACATATGAAATTATTTTAAAAGGACTCTTACTCTTGTGTCTATAAGAATTTTTAGACCCAACTAATCTATACAGGGTTATTAATTGTGATTTGGCTACCAAAAAATAGGTTTGAAAGCATGTACTTTGAAAGCAACGTAAGGGATGAAATGAGAGAGAGAGAGAGAAGGAACCTCCATTGAGCCAAAGAGCAAGAGGCTTCGAAGAAGGGTCCTCAGCAGACTCTACGAACCAGTAGAAAAAAGCTTTACCGGCTGAAGCATTGACCGTGATATAACCAGAGTAATGTGCAAAGCTGAGGTTGAATGTGCAAAGCTGAGGTTGAAGTTTTGGCCTGGCAGCTTCAACACTTGGTCAAGCTTTTGCTCTATTATTTTGTCTGCAGGAATATCTGAACTTGCTAAGCAACTAGATATAATTAGATGATGCTTAGAACAAGTGATTAAAAGAAGAATGCAAAAGGCGAAAAGTCTTTCTAAGTTTGTCATCTTTGCAATGGTTTTCTTCGTTGTTAGATGCATGGTTCTTTTATAGGAAACAAGAATGATTGAGGCAATTATGATGGGGCCATTATTTGATGAAGTAGGGTAATGGACCTAAATGAATTATTGGGATATTATCTTGACATATCCTTTTAGGGCACGCGGATTTATCAACTAGATGACTCTGGATTGTAGCAAGCCATATCCTACACTACATAAACCGTGGAAGGGCGATGAACAGTGATTTGTGCTGGTTATTTTGTAATTTATTTCACATTTGTTCCCTTTCTTATCTTTTTTCAGCTGCAGTCTTGTATGGGTTCTATTTTTGTCCGATTCATTTTCCCTCGTTGACTTTTTTTTGGACTATTTTGTCCTTTGTCCTGGTTATGCTGTTATTTATATATGCATTTTGGACATCATCGTCTTTTTAATGCTTTGGGAGGCATGAGATATCACATGTTTCTTATCATTCTATTCCCTGCAAGATCACCGTTATCTTCAACCGAAATCCATTTCTATCCATATTTGCCTGCCATCATTCTTACTCTGGCTTTGCGCATTTTCATCTATATATGAAGTCGGCCACCTCTTCGTATACATGTCATTGCCAGCATACAGTGCATGCATGCCGCGTGTATTTTCCGTGGATAATCAGCTATTTTAAACTTATCTTTTAGTGTTGTTCGGTTTGAGATTTGAGCCATCTTGTTTCATCTGCATTAGATGTTAATGTCAGGTTTCTCCATTATCTATATTCTGCTCAGTTGTTTATCGGTTTCGCTTTCTTTTTCCAGCTATCTCTGTGCCTCTTCTGTTTGTCTTCCACTCGGTTCCTCAGCAACTCCACTCTTGTTGCATTAGCGTCATTAATGTTATATATATTTTGCATGCATGCCGCGTGTGCTTTGCATGGATAGCCAGCTATCTTCAGCTAACCTTTCATTCTTAATACCTTAGACATTTAAGCCATCTTATTTCATCTGTGCTCCTCATTGATTTGAAGTTTCTCCATTATTGTCGTTCTCTTTTTTTTTCCCTATCTTCTATTTCTTCTCTGTTTTGCAAAAATTCTACAAGTCTTCTGTGCTTTTGCTTCGTTTGCCTCTTCCGTTTTGTCTTCCTTTGTGTTACTGGTGAGTTACCATATCCTTTCTGTTACTGGTCAGTTACCATCTTGATTTATCTGTCCTTTGTCTTGCTTTTTTCTGTCCTCATGCTTTTTCGTTGTGATGAGTTTTTCCGTGCATGTTGTGTGCATTTTTCCCCTTTCTCTCTTTTAACTAGCTTTCTGAGTTGTCGCGGGTTTTTTCCTTTGCCATTTTTAAATTTTTTTGTTGTGTACTATTTCTTGTCGCTTTCTATTTGTGTCAAAAATATTGACATTCCTTTATTTTATGTGTTTTTGTATCAGCTGCCTTCTCTCTAATTTACACTCTGGACTTTTGTTGCAGCGTTTTGGAGGTACGAACATTTGTTTTAAACTCAAATTTTGCATCTCCATCGACTATGTCCATAGTTTACTCTAACTGTGTGTTTTGTTGCATAACTTACTCTGATTCTGTGGCTTTGTTTGTGTTTCGTTTAAATGCGATCATTGTTTACAATTTCTTTTAGCTATGATATTTCTACTTTTTTCCTCCTCCTATAAATTCTCTTCTTTAGAGTTATTATTTCTCCTATACTACAAGAAACTTCCTATCACGTCTATTATGCCCTGTACGGTTTTTCCTATGAAGAGCCATCTTGTAATATGGGTCGAAAACGCAAGTATACATCTGAGGATGAATGTCGTATACAAGCTAATGGGCGCCGGCGAGAAAGATATGCTAAAAAAGTAGCAGAGAAACAGAACCACATACAAGATAGTGGTGAACGTCAAAACAACGACAGCTGCAACACAGATGTTATGCCTGTTTCACCAACAGACCATACCGTTGTTGATGTGCCTGTTGACAATCATGTATCACTTTCAGCTTTATTGAAAGCTAAGTGTATGTGCTATGAAATTCCTGTCGTTGATATTTCTGATAAGCCAATCGTCCAATGGAGCTCCACAAATGATGCTATTGATCAAAGTATTTTCCACCCTCCTGAATTTATATCCTATACTGGCTATTAAATTTCATGATAAGCAACAACGTATCATTATTTGTTTTTGCTATATGAACTGCTATTACAACAATTGACCATGTGGTTTCTGATAACACCGTTTCTTCCACTACTTTTGAAACAAATAGCCTGAGCCATTCTTCACCTCTGCTACCAACTCTTCTACATGAAGGCTCCTCGTCCACCAGGAATCCACAACATTCAAATAGTACCTATATACTTTAAGTTCCTGCATGAAAATCTCTGTGTGCTCCTGTTTTGGATGTTTTACAGCCTGTCTATTCTTTCAATTTGTTAAAAGGACTTGTATTTCATATGGTATAGGTGTTCATCACAGACGAAGGAAGATACCATTATTAGAACAAATACCATCTGAGCCAAGTGTTTTGCCAGAAGTTCCAGATTGCATGTTTTGTCGTGCTAAGCGCTTTTATATGGAACCACCGCGATTCTGTTGCTCCGCAGGTGAAATTCGTTTAGTCGAAACTGAAATGCCAGATAAATTAATTCACCTTTATAAGGCAAATACTCCTGAAGCTAGAGAGTTTCGATTGTGCATCCGTAGTTACAACAATATGTTTGCCTTTACATCCTTGGGGGTTCATTACGACAAAGAGTTAAGCAGAAGGAATAATGGTATATACACATTCAGAGTGCAAGGCCAAGTTTATCACTTCATCAATCCATTGGTTCCTTCTGAGGGTGAGAGAGCAACAAATCTGCAGTTATATTTCTATGATACACAGCATAAGATAGCAAATCGCATGGCAATTTCTAGCAAGTTCAAAGAATCCATTGTGGAACAACTTAAGGATATTCTACATGATAATCCTTACTCCACTTTTATAAGAAGTTTGGTCGACCTTCATGATGCTGAACACTATAAGATTTCCCTTAAATCAGATTCAAGTATGGATCAAAGAGTCTACAATCTTCTTGCAGTATCTCAAGTAGCAGCAATATGGAATGAAAATGATTATAACACTGATGATGGCATTAGAGATATCCAGATCTTCACAAGAGCAGGAAATAAACGTATACTAAAACAGTACTATGGATGCTGTGATACCCTACAATATCCTCTTATATTTGCAAGAGGTGAGACCGGATGGCACAAAGGCATACTCTGAATACCAAAATCAGATATTCTGAACCAAGCATCAGGAACATGTCAGAAGGAAAATATTGTGTCACTCCAGAATTGCTCACACATAGATGAAGTGATATCTGCTGAAGAAAAAAGGTATAAATAACAAATCCATCATTATAGTACCAAAACACTGACTTAGATTTATTTCTATTCTGCTATATTGCATTGAATTGCAGCTTTATATTATTGTTCCTTATAGCTAATCAAGACTGGAAAATTCAGATACATATTCTCTTATATTTCAGATATGCCTATATAATTTCTGTCTATTTATTCTCTAATTACAATTCCAAGCTACTCATACAGATTTACTTATATTTTATTTTTTCACATCTAATTTGTATTTCGTATTTTCATCTGCTTTCCACAGCAACAAAAAAAATAAAGCCGTGAATACTATGCATACAAATTCCAAATAAGGGACCGTGATAGATCACATATGTTACACATAGGGAGATTGCTGCAGCAATATTTAGTGGAAACATATATTAAACTAGAGACATCACGATTGAATTTCACAAACATAGGCAGCAACACTTGAGAACTGAAGTTTATAAAGGACTGATAGATACTGTGATTGGTGGTGAAACTTCTGCATCAAACATTGGAAAGCGAATTATTCTTCCAGCAAGTTTTATAGGAGGTTCGAGAGATATGCGTCGAAGATACATGGATGCTATGTCACTTGTTCAACGGTATGGAAAACCTGATATCTTCCTTACAATGACGTGCAATCCATCTTGGCCAGAGACATCACGATTGAATTTCACAAACATAGGCAGCAACACTTGAGAACTGAAGTTTATAAAGGACTGATAGATACTGTGATTGGTGGTGAAACTTCTGCATCAAACATTGGAAAGCGAATTATTCTTCCAGCAAGTTTTATAGGAGGTTCGAGAGATATGCGTCGAAGATACATGGATGCTATGTCACTTGTTCAACGGTATGGAAAACCTGATATCTTCCTTACAATGACGTGCAATCCATCTTGGCCAGAGATTAAAAAACATTTAGCAGATGAAGATGAAATCCAAAATAGACCAGATTTGGTTTCTCGAGTATTCCGAGTAAAAATTGAGCAATTAAAGGATGATTTGTTCAAGAAGAATCTGTTTGGTGAAGTTGCAGCTTATACTTATGTGATTAAATTCCAGAAACGAGGATTATCACATGCTCATTTTCTAATTATCCTCAAACAAAGATCGAAGATGTTTTCTCTTGAAGCATATGATAGGATTGTTTCTGCAGAGCTACCAGATCCGAAAGAGTCACCTTATTTACATTCATTGGTGCTAAAACATATGGTTCATGGACCATGTGGTGTTCTAAATCCCAATTGTCCATGTATGCGTCAAAATCGCAAGTGTAGAAATAACTATCCAAAAGATTTTTCTGCATACACTAAACATGGAAGAAACTCTTATCCTATTTACAAAAGGCGTAATGACGGAAAAAGTGTTGTTATCAGAAATCACACACTTGATAATCGATGGATTGTTCCATACAATCCATACTCCTTGCAAAATTTGATTGCCACATTAATGTAGAGATATGCTTTGGTATTGAAGCAGTGAAGTACATTTACAAGTATATTTACAAAGGACACGATAAAGTTATGTATCAGATCACTTCTCAACAAACTGAAAATATCATTGATGAGATTCGCAATTTCCAATCTGCTAGATGGATTTGTGCTCCTGAATCCATGTGGAGAATATTTGCATTCGATTTAACCAATATTCATCCATCAGTAATGACAATGCACTTGCATTTACAAAATCATCAGTCGATATCATTTGCTGAGAATCAAACATTGGACGATGTTCCTGCTAATGAAAGAAATTCAAGGACAATGTTAACAGAATTCTTCTCTATGAATCGAACAAATAAGAGAGCACAGGATCTGAATTGTCTCTACAAAGAATTTCCCAAATATTTCACTTGGGATGAAGGTGATCGAATATGGATGGACAGAAAACGTGGAGAAGTCATTGGCCGTGTTAACACAGCCCACCCCATTGAAGGAGAAAGATACTACCTCAGAATGTTACTCATGCACGTAATAAAACCAACTTCCTTTGATGACTTAAAATGTGTTGATGGTTATATATCATCTACATACAAAGAGGCAGCAAAAGTTCGTGGACTGCTTCAAGTAAACAATGGTTTTGATGAATGCTTATCTGAGGCACTTGTGTACAACATGCCAAGTTCATTAAGACAGCTTTTTGTTGTGTTGCTTGTGCATTCTCCACCAACAAATCCAAGAGCTCTTTGGTTGAAATATAGAAATCATCTATCAAAAGACATTCAAAAGAATTTGGCATTATCAAAGGAACAAGTACAAATTCAAGCGCTCAGACTCATTGATCAATATATGCAAATTATGGAAAAAATATAGCTGACTACAACTTGACAGACATTCTTTACCGTCTCTTGTGCTCAGATAGCTGCACTAAAGATATTGAAACTGAGTACCAAATACCTGTTTCCGATGAAGATTTGGCTTCAGTTTCAATGTTGAACAAAGCGCAAAAGTCTGCATTTGACAGAATAACCGAAAAGCTGAATAGAAATATCCCTGGTGTTTTTTTTATTGATGGTCCTGGTGGAACTGGCAAATCATTCTTATATAAAGCATTACTTGCAACTGTAAGATCAAGGGGTCATATTGCACTAGCAACAGCGACTTCTAGTGCTGCAGCATCATTGTTACCTGGAGGACAGACGGCGCACTCTCGCTTCAAGATTCCATTTCACCAAGACAATAGCCAAACCTGTAACATTTCAAAGCAAAGTAGCATCGGTAAGCTTCTAAAACTTGCAAAGTTAATTATATGGGATGAAACAGCAATGGCTAGAAAACATGCAATTGAATCGTTTGATACGATGCTTCGTGATATTCTAGATTCTGATGTTATATTCGGTGGCAAAACTATTGTCTTTGGTGGTGATTTTTGATAAACTCTCCTAGTTGTTCAAAAAGGTCAGAAAGAAGATTATATATCTGCATCACTGATCAACTCTTATATTTGGCCTTATCTAGAAAAAATACAGCTAAATGAAAATATGTGAGCATGATTGAACCCTCAATTTTTTGATTTGCTGCTTAGAATTGGGAATGGCACACAACCAACAGTTGGAGATAGCAGAATTCAATTGCCATCATCTATTCTGATACCTTTTCTTGACGATGCTGCTTCTCTCGATGAATTGATAAGTGCTATCTATCCTTCACTTACTGATTTCATTCACAATACTTCTGCTGTTATCAATAGAGCCATTCTTACTACAACAAATGAATTTGTCCATCATATAAACAACCTTTTGATTGAAAGATTTCCTGGTCAAGAAACAAGATACATAAGTTTCGATCAAACAATTGACCCTTCAAAACAAGCTCATCATGGAGATTTTCTAAACACTATCCAACCACCTGGATTACCACCCCATGAATTAATTTTGAAACCTTACTGTCCTATTATTCTTTTGAGAAATTTGAATCCTGCTGAAGGTTTGTGTAATGGAACACGTTTAACTTGTTTGAATTTTGCTCGTAATCTTATTCATGCACAAATAGCTTCAGGAAATCACATTGGAAAACAAGTTTTCATCCCTCGCATTCCACTTCATAGCTCAAATGATGAGTCTTATCCAATACCATTCAAACGAACTCAATTTCCTGTATCTCTCTGTTTTGCAATGACCATTAACAAATCACAAGGACAGACACTTGATTTTGTAGGAATATATTTAAAAGAGCCAGTCTTTTCACATGGTCAGTTGTATGTTGCAATGTCCAGAGCAAGAACTGCAGAAAAACTAAAAATACTTCTAAGACCTGTTACTCTTGAATGCATACCACAGAATACCACTCGAAACATTGTCTATCAAGAAATTCTTACAGCTGCAACAATCACTTCAGTAATTATGCTTATGACTTTGCTTATTGTGTATTTTAGAATTAATATATGTGTGCTTGCATTTTAATTATTTCCAGTACACTCTTCTTTGTCCATTCTATTTAGCTTATTCACGTCATAAAATTTTCAACCATCAGTATTATTAACCACTTTCACCAATTTATATGTTCGATATTATGTAGTTATGACCAACAGATATATTCCTGTTAGCACTTTGACTCATGAAACAAAGGATTGGATGATCAAGGTGATTGTCACTGAAAAATCACCAATCTACCCAGGAAAAGATCAAACCTCTTGGTTCATCAGACTCATGTTTTCAGATGAACAGGTTAGAAACATAGTATTTCCTATATCATTAATTGTCATCCGAAAAAACTTATTTCTCAAAAAATATCATTTTACCATGAAACTGCTCACACTTCCATCTTAATGCATCACTGTTTTGTAAATATGTTCCTTTACTTATTAAATTACCTATTTTCCCAGTTAAGTATTTGTATTTATATTCATTAACTTTCCTCTTTCTCTTTCCTTTTGACAACATGAATCAATTCAAGCAATTGCTTTTAATAGAGATGTCAATTATATCCATGACAAATTGCAGCTTTATGAGACCTACTACATTGCTAATGCTGCTATTGCGCCAATTACTGATGCAAGAAACCAAGCTAGCTCCATTCCACTCCAGTTAATGTTGAGCAAAGCTACCTTCGTCAAAAAAGTCAGCAAAACAGATTCGCTTCAGCTAATCGACCACTATCCTATCACTTCTTTCTGGAATCTTGACAAATACAAAAACAGTGATGCAGATAGATTCAGTATAAACAAGTCATCAATGATAAATACTATACACTAACCTACTATACATCTTCTAACAACAAATTTCTCATACTCATGCAGATATCTTATGTATAGCAATCCATGCATTCCTAGAAGAAGTAGTCAGTACTGCAAGAGGACCACGAAGAATCCGAAAAGTCATAGTTGTCAATCCTGAGTAAGCCTCTCATCATTTTAACTTTGAGAATAGAAATATAAATTCCCTTACATAGCATTTTATATATGAACATGTCAGTCATCATTTGCATTCAACTCTGTTGTCCACATATTCAATATTGCAGATGTAGACCGATGATATTCACAATGTCGGAACCTTATGTTTACTATGAAGGTGTTGAGCTCATAAACACAATCCACATGCACCCAGCAATTCTGATTATACGACCAAGAATCACCACGTACCATGGTAAAAATACAAATAACATCAAACTGATGCTATTGACATTTACTTTAAATGAATACAATTGAATTTGCTTTCTCCGCACAACAAATTAGGAATCGACATTAGCACTAGACCAAATAGCACAATTGTTCTGGATCCGCCATTACATCAGACTGCTACACTCAAAACATGGTATGATTTCACATATATATACTATTAGTTTTTATTGGAAATTCTTTTCGAAAGTATCCATATTACCACTGATATTTACTTTTCCTATCACAGGACCCAAGAAAACATTTCTTACATGCACAGAGTCATCAATGAGAGGCTGTATGAAAAAAATAAACAAAAAACAACAGTGCCGACTAGCACTGAAATCCGGCTGATTGCACAAATCCTTGCATCATCAAATCTGGTAACACATACACATATATCCACTAATCCTTTACATTATCAATTTCACAGCTTATTACTGTTATAATACCACTAACTCAATTATGCTAACACCTATACAATTTTGTTTGGACTAGATAAAAAACTTTTGGATCAAAGGGAAGATTAGAATCATCAATTACAATCAACGATTTTTCTCTGCAACATGCACTTCCTGCAACAAAGTCACTAGTGCTCCAATGGATATGGAATTTGACTGCAATTTTTGTGGACTTAAGGATACAAAACCAAAACCAAAGTAAGTTGATTTTCAATTTTTAAAAATTTATCATTACAACTTTTATATACTTTATCTTAAATACTGATAACCATTTATGGTATAGAGCTAAGTTTCAAGTGCAAATTTACGATGACACTGGTTTCATTGAGGCAACAATCGATGACATGCATGCTGAAACTCTACTTGATTCCACTGCTACTCAAATCTACGAAAAACATCTCCAGGTACACTAACATTTATATAATTATACAAACAAATATAACATCAATCAGCGTTAGCTATCAAAACCACTAACGTAGACTATCCCATTAACATTGCAGGGAGAATCACTGCCTTTTAGCACAATCAATCAAAAACTACAAAATCAGAACTTCTTCTGTGAAATCAGATCGTATCTTCCCTCTCAAAGACATCCTCTCCCACTATTCTTTCTGACAGCTTTCATCCCAGAAGAAGCAGCAGAGAAACCACTAAGTGGTCATATTGCTGAAACACAACCATCAGAATTTCCTATAACTCCACCATCTTTCCTCAAAACCACCACCACAGACATCTCATCTTCAATCGAACAAGCTTCGTCGACTTCCACACCAACATCAGCTTTATCTGTTGTGTCAGTCGATCAAACCATCGACAAAGGGCCCTCATCTTCAGTGAAGAGAAGCCTTGACGAAGAACTGGCAAAAACAACAAAGCATGCAAAGGTCGACTAAACTCTGCAGTTAAAAGAAAAAATGACAAGACTCCAACAATCATCAATCCAAAAAAGGCAACTAAGCATGTATTACTTTTGCTTCAGACAACGGATTGCTTTTGTTATTCTGGTGATAAGTTAGCACTATTGACATTTGCAGCTCTATATTCCTGTTTCTAATCACCAGAATATACTACTTTACGTAAATTACATGTTAATATGCTACTTTATGTAAATTACCTTAACATGTTTACAAATATTACTTACCTATACTAAAATCACTCCTCTTACTATACAATAGGGGCACCCCGCGTCAAACGCGGGGTCTCACCACCTAGTATAAACATAAATATCCTTTCTTATAACATAGTATCTCCATTTGGACGGAATTATTTATCAGAAACATCTTTTCGGAAGTCGAAATACGTTCTCCAACCACCTTTGTTTTATATACTGATTTACCCTCAAAACTGTATAGTAATATTTTTCTAAACCAAATAATATGTATGTGGCTATCATCTAACAACTGTGATTTTGAATGTTAAAATATTTGAAAATACTCATAGATAGAATTTATTTGTATAATTAGAATGATATTTACATACAATTCTACAAAATTTAGAATTGTTTCCCCTATGCTTGAGTATTAACTTTTACACAAAAAAAAAAGGTGAAAAACAAGATAAAGAGAGAAAAAGTCATAGCTTGAGCGTTGCTATAATATGGTTCTTTTCATCTACTGCTATAATGTGGTTTAATCCAATTTTAAACTTCAAGCGTAAATTTAAAGTCAAGGAAAAAATGGTGTCCCATTTTGGAGAATTTAAATTTATTTATTCACATTTTTTAGGATTGTTTACTCAAAAGCTGAAATGCAGCAGATTCCAGCAAAACATGGAATTTCATGTTGAAACTATTACTCAACATAATCAATATTTTAATAGCCAAATGCAATAGGACATAGTGCTAAGTTAATCTAGGGTAATAAAGTGGGTTGAAATACTCCAAAAGGTCATGTTTTTCTTTTATCCTCAAAATACCAACAGTCAAATAAAATTCTAAACTTTCGTATATAGTTGTCTGTTTTGTCAGGAAAAAACTTAAAATCAAGTTTTAGGTTTAATGCTATATTTTATCTCCGACTATTCTGTCCTCAATTCCTAAATATTCTCTTGACACTAAGAGATAGTAATCATGGATGATCGTAACATTGAGAAGTACTATGGACTTGTTTTTGTTTGTTAGGTATTACAAAATTTGATTATGAAAAGCAATTAAAGAGAATAATTAGAACCTGTAAAAGTTACTCTTGGTAGATTGTGGATTTTAACTTTTTGTGGCCATTAATATATCTATAATTTAAATATGAAAAAATGTTCAAAATGTTCCTTAAATTTCGTCAAATGAATTTTTTCGTGCTTTAGTTTTAAAATATTAAATTTA